GGGGGGGGGGGGGGTGAGTTTAAATGAATGCCTTTTGCATAACTAAGTTTCCTTGAATAGTCTTGATATTATCACAATCCATAGCAACTGTTATTGCAAATATAATAAACTTCTTTGGTAAGAAATCAAGCTTTCAGAATGCACACGCAATTGAAATAACTAAGATGTGATGTCATACTGTTACCCCTAAGAGTAAAATATACAAAACCCTTCATGGCCTCATTGAATGGCCACACGTCACTAAGAGCATAGTGCAATAATCCAACTTTGAACAATACCATGAACACGAACAACAAGAAAGAATATCAGTTCTAGAAGTAGAAGAGTGCAAATGACATCTACCGAAGAGAATGAAGGTCCAAATGAATGTGAGCCTCATCTGATGTCACTTGACCCTTAAGCGCAGTAAGAATAGCTTGTTGCTTAGCATTCTCAACTTGAGCTTCTATCCATTGCCTCTCACTTGGACCAAATCTGTCACAAAAAAGGCAACCATAAAGTTGGGTAGACAATCTTTTCTTGAAGGACTCAGAGATGCTTCACAGTTGAAATTCAGGGAAGTACTTCAAAGTAGTTAAAACTGATGCTAAATTTCTATATTTGCATACTATAGGAACCACCAAAGTAAAATTCTTCAACTTCTGACTTTATATGACAATTAATATAGATGGCTAAGCATCCTGTTTCAGGAATGTCGCATAATATTAGGATACATCCCAATAAAAGCCAAAACATTCAATAGGAAAGAGGTAATATAAAAAGTTGAGAAACATTTAAACAGAAAGACTGAAAGAGAACTCCTATATTGGCCATGAAAGACGTCTTTACACTTCTAGTCTAATACATACTTCACTTAGATTAAACCAAAAGAAATGGTGCATACATGGAGCGAAGGCGTTGCAATTCAGAAACACGCTGGTGGTGTGACTTTTCCAGATCTGCCATGTCACAATGCAACATATTTCAAAATCAACCAAACAACCACACAAAATAGCTGAAGCTAATTCTTAGGACAAGAAGCCTCGCTATCAATAAGTACACGAGCAAATCCACACACAAACATATGCTCGACTTGCAGAAAAAACTAATGCGAAAGGAGGTATACGAATGTAAATACCTCGTAGTAAAACGTTTGATATGTCATTGAGGCTAACCCATGAACATTTTGACTTTCCCTCCTCTGCAACTAATCTGTAAGGACCCTAAACCACAATGAACCAATAATAGCAATGTCAAGTCACTGAAATCCTATAAAATAGATCTGGAAAGAGCAGATTAAAAGGAAAGGCCAAGATTTTCAGCTATACAAACGAACATTATAATGGTTGGATGGATGACGCGGGCCGGGCCATCTAAGGCCAATCCACCAAATGGGATAACAACTACGTGTGCACAAAGTTGAAGACTCAACATAAACTATTGAATATGGCATTTAGATAATAACCCGACCTAGCATTCTCAACAAACAATCAGCTGAACCCTTAAATCAAAGTTGTACCATAAGAGCACAAAAATTTGAGTAATTGAGATACTAGAGAATCTGGAAAGAGCGGATTAGAAGAAACAGCTCAGGGCTTTGGCCAGGCAAAGGGACATTCTGAAAATTGGCAGGAAAAGTACAGCTGGTCATCCTAAGCCCAATTCATTGTCGGTACTGCATACTATAAAGTTCAACATCTAAAAGTAAGATCGCATATTATGTACTATACAGCAAGAAACACAAGTCCCAAAGTAAGCCTTCCCATATTTGTAGAGCTGAGAGAATAAACTCAACATTAATGATATAACTCAGAATAAGACCATGTATTGGCTCGTTTTACGAATTCTATCTCTAAAATAAGAGAAGTTCCGAGGAAGGAAGTGATACATTAAAGGTGAATATTTGAATGTTAAGATTACGACCTTCTTGGCATTATGGAAGTCCGACCTAAAAGAATTTATGGATCAACAACAGGTAAAAAAGTAACAGGGAGACACTAAAGCAAAATCAGTTCACAGTTATGCATTATGTCAAAATCGTTTGCAAGCTTTACCTTGTATGTTGGTGACATAACCCAAATTCTATGTCTACTGTTTGATGAGTTCCCAAATATGCGTGACATTATTTGATTTGGAGCTAGAAACACTTTGCTAAACATCTTGTAATATAGTATGATACCATGGTGTATCAGGGTGAAGAAGATAAAAATGCTCACAATGGAAAGAAACAAGAAAATAATAATCCAAACGTACTGTATCTAGATGCTTGGTAAACCATTGATTTAACTCCTTTACACAAGATGCATCCACCAACAGATATGCATGGAAGTCCGAGTAAGAAAGGTATATTCCATCTTCTACAATAAAAAAGAATTTGGAATATCAAAGAATAGTCACAGTAGTAAAAACTGGATAAAGAATTCAAATTAGATTCTTAACTCCCTCATTTTAATTAAGTTACTAATTGTCCCACGTGGATTGTGTAAGGAACTCTATAAGAATCTTTACGGACTTGGGCCGCTCCAACAATTACTTTCCAAGCAAAGATGAATCATAGTTCATAGAATATAACACGGAAAGGGAAGCAGAATTTGCTCAATTCAAATTCTCATTTGACCTGCTAATCTTAATCAAGTTGGAATCTTGAATCCAAGTGAGCTAAGCAATAGACCTTTACAGCTAGTCTGATTAAGATATGCAGCATATTTATAGAGTATACATAAGATATGTGCACAAACACATCATTTTTAAAAGCAAAGCAGTAACCAGCAGCACTCTTCTTGTAAAAGCATAATCCCATCATTATTGGAGAATCTAAGTTGTCATTACAGTTTAAGCATTAGAATCTACAAAAGATCTACAGGAGAGTGACATTCAAAACCAAAGCGTTAGGAAATCTTCTAATTAATATATACGCCACACAAACCCTTTAATCAATAAGAGAAATTTTCTGAACAGTCATATGAAAAAAATTCAAGTACCATCCCCTGAATGATAGTGTGCCAACTCCTGCGCAGTAGAAGCCATCCTTCCAAGAACTGCATTCATCTGTGTGCAGTGAAGCATTTTAGGAACCATATAAAAATATAATATCATTATATGTACATTTCCCAGTGAAAGTAGATAAATGTTCAGTTGTCAGATTAACAACTTCAATCTGCCACTTAAACAAGCCAAGAACTACTATTTTTCTCATCCTCTTCTCAAGTTGTCAGCTATCAAAATAGCATTTTGAGCTTTGCTTCGTTGAGTTGCAGGTAAAGCAAAGGAAGAGTTTACTGCGAACCTGCCTACATAATCGTCAGGCCACACTGTCTTTAAAATATCTCGCCTCAACTGTATCATCAATAGCAACCTTACATGTGCAGCCATAATAGGAGATGATATTGTTTGTATAGACTGCATGTCAACTATGCAAATAAGATAAACTAACTTGCATTTAACTGTCGTACCTCTAAATTCCTTGCTGAAAGGCTATCATCTGTGGTAGCCTGCTGTCCATTGAGAATAGAAGTTGCTGCAACTCGAGCTCTTCTTCCCTGAATCAATGCAGAAGCCTGGCCCGTGAGCATATCATATTGAGACTGCAGTCGTCTCAGCTGTTTCTGCAACTCCAATTCCTCAGCTTTTAATGCTAAAGTTGCATCTCTGAAGATTAAGCAAACCATCAATATCAGAGAAAAACAGAGCAAACGTAAAAACAAATCTGCTGAAACCAATTCATTTTAACATAGAAAGGAGCAAAGATGAAGCATAAGCAGAATTATGTCAAAAACAAAATACTAAACAAGTTTACATTTTACTATTTACCAAAAAAAATGAGAGAGAGATATAACATCTTGTGCACACTAAACTGCTTTTAACAATTCTCTGGTATCTAAGCTGCCTCTTCATGCGCAGATTCTAATTGTGGAATAAAGATTATCCAGAAGTGAAGATTGATCAGATCAAAGAAAAGAGGGGGGGGGTTGATAAGCTACTGCTATTGCACTTGAGGCGAGTACAATAATGTATCCTTCACATATCTATGATCAGGCCCCAATCGCATCATGCATTCCATAATATTTCCAGAAACACAACTTAATATCTGAGGCGTGCACTCATAGATAACTGTTTGACTAATTTTCTTAGCTAAAGGAACTTATGTTACATCAGGAGTAAATAAAATGCTGGAACGGTGAAAAAGCTGAGAGTATAGGTACACCACAATAGGAATGTGACTCGTTCAGAAACTAGAACTAACTCAACAACGTAATTTGATCATTTATACACACTCAAACTTCGAGGATAAAACAGTGAGCATTTAGCAATAAAGAAGAACAGATCTAAGAGACAATAGCCATCACCGTATATCCTTCAATCCTTCTTCACTTCCGAAATTGCATCATGCATTCCATAATATTTCCAGAAACACAACTTAATATCGGAGGTGTGAACTCATAGATAACTGTTTGACTAATTTTCTTAGCTAAAGGAACTTATGTTACATCAGGAGTAAATAAAATGCTGGAACGGTGAAAAAGGTGAGAGTATAGGTACACCACAATGTGAACGTGACTCGTTCAGAAACTAGAATTAACTCAACAATGTAATTTGATCATTTATACACACTCAAACTTCGAGGATAAAACAGTAAACATTTAGCAATAAAGAAGAACAGATCTAAGAGACAATAGCCATCACCGTATATCCTTCAATCCTTCTTCACTTCCGAAAACTGCCTCTTGGTTTTCTCTCCTTGTTGAGAAGGCCGAAATGCTGTCATAAGCAAAGTCTAGATCTTCTCCCTGAGACGTCACGGCACAAATAACGGTGTTTATGTACACATAGTGGCAAGAATGAATAAAGGAAGAAATGATAGAAAAATCTTCAACTTCTATTAAATGAAAACTCCTTGTTACATATCCCCTTTTGAAAATCCACAATGCCCCCCCTCCCCCAAACAAACAGAGTGAAAAGATACAATGAGACGAAAGAATCTAAAGGTTGACAAATGACAAGTTATTATCAATAGTAATTTGTTTGCCATTAACTGAGAATGCAGTTTCAAGATATTAAGATACTCATCTTGCAACTGTGAACCTCCGCAAACTTTTTCCTCTCTTCTGAAAGCACCCGAAGTGAACTTTGAAAAAACTGGACAAATAGGTATGTGCTTTCTAACAACTGAGATAAGGAGTACGCATTATCCAAATCCCCTAACTAATATACATCAGCGTTTGTCAGATATACCATAGGAGGCACTAAGGAATCTTTAACTATACCACCAAATTCTTGAGTTTCAACTAGACTGCACTAAATTTTATTTTAATATGAAATGGTAGTTTCCCTCAAAAAATTTCTGCTTTTTTTCTTTTGGGGGGAG